ATATACATTTGAGTAAAATTTTATCAACCTACTTCATTTCGTTCGGAAGCTAGAGTGATTTGACCAGACGCAAAGGTGGGTGGACATCGCAAAATCGACATAGAATTTTATGCTGATCAAGAATATATATATTTTGTTACAAACGGAATGGCAATATAAGATACCTTCCATTCTACGGTGGAGGGTATAAAAATCGCAGACCTCAGATCAGACTGAGATCTTTTTTTCTATATAGAAAAAGTTCGGAGACCTTAGAGTTCATACTGAGGTCTTTGCTTCTATATAGAAAAATTCGGAGACCTCAGTTCAGACTAAGGTCGGTGTTTTTTTTTTCATTATAGAAAAAAATAGGAGACCTCACTTCAGACTGAAAAAATCGAAGGCCTCAGATCAGACTAATGTTTTTTTTTTTTTTTTTTTTCTATAGAAAAAATTGGATACCTCAATTATTTTAGGTCGGATTTTTTTAAAGAAAAAAAAAACAACTCTGTGAAGGGCATAGACTCTACTTTTTTCTATAGAAGCAACATGTCTCAGTGACTGGAAGTCTTTCGGATTTATTTCTATCTATAGAAGAGCTGGAGGTCTACCATTTACAGAAAAATCACTTGAGAGTCCTCAAAAAATACTTGGACTTCTGAAGACCTTCTGATGGAAAACCTGTTAGAGGTTCTATATGCCTAGAAATCCTTCTGGAGATCTTCTTCACCCAAAAGACCATTTGGTGGTCCTCAACACATAGAAGAGCTTTGGCAAATTCTTCGGGGGTGAATAAACGTTTAAAGGTCCTCTGTACATAAAACAGTTTCAAATGCTCTCTATACTTTGAATAACTTCAGAAGAAAATCGCCTGAGAAATTCTCAATAAATGGTTTAACTTCTGAAAACCTTCTCAGGCCTGAAAACATTTTTCCGGCCGTCTATTCACGGAAGACCTGCTGGAGATTCTCTATACCTAGAAGTTCTTCTGAAGGTCTTTTACACCTAGAAGACCTTTCAGTGGTCGTCAACATATTGAAGTGCTTTAGAAAATACTTGGGGGGTCTTCTGTATGAAGGAGACCTAGTTTTAGGTTTCCTATACGCCGAAAAGCGTATGAAGATGCTCTGAACCTGCAGAAGGCTCTCTTAAACTTGAAAAACTTTAGAGTTGAACATTTTGAGAATTGTTAATAAATTATTGAAATTCTAAAGATCTTTTCAAGTATGAAACCCATACTATCTATTCATAGAAGACCGGCTGAAGGTCCTCTATACCTAGAAGTCCTTCTGGAGATTTTCAACCCCTAGGAGACGTTTTGGTGGTCATCAACATATACAAGAGCTTTGGAAAATTCTTGGGGAATCTTTTGTACGTAGGAGATTTACCCCAATAGAAGACCTTTAGGTGGTCCTCTACACATAAAAGACCTTTGGAAAGTTCTGCAGACCACCTCAAAGTCATTAAAGACCTCTTGAAAAACCTTTATACAGGAAAAACCCTTCTGAAGGTTTCTATAATAAGTAACTTTCGAAGATCCTCTGAAGAAACACTATCTAAGGGTCCTCATACCCTCTGAAGATCCAAAGACATAGAAGACATTCTAGATCCTCTAAAAGTTCTCTAGATATGTAATAACTTCGGACGTTTTTTTAATATTAAAAAGTCCGTCTGAAGGAACCCAATATGTATTAGACCTTCTTAAAGTCCTCTGTAAGAGTAGGTAGCCTATATATAGGACAACTTCCAAAAGTTCGCTACACGTATAGGACCTCTTGAAGTCCCTCTAAGCCATAGCATAGATTGGCTCGTCTTTCTCGGGAGAGAGAAGAAAAAGAGAAAAATTTGTTTGCTCGTTTTTTTTCCTACTCCCGGGAGCGCTTCCGCTCGAATTCGAGTGGGTTTTACTCTTTGTTCAAATTTGAGCGACTTTTTTGCAGGTCTGCTCTAAACTTATAAAGTTTCTCAAGGTTCTCTTGGTTAGAATAAGTTCTAGAGCAGTCTATCTTTCTTTAGGACGTCTTGAATACATAGATTTTTTTTTTCTGATGGTATTTTGGTATTAATTTCTCTACAAGAAGAGAGAGAGAAAAGAAGGGAGAGAATATCGCTTGCATGAATTGTCCATTATATCCATTATATCTGATATCCCCATTTGATGATTACCAATTGTGCACTTTGAATTCCCAGCAGATTTTCCTCCATTTCTCCTAATTCCAACAATTTATTTGTTCTCTACTTTGCCATGCCAAAAGCTTCTGTAAACCCCCCAACTTATTTGAGTTGGTTGATGACTGACAGTCAGTCACATGACTTCGTTGTAAAAATACCTTCAAAACAAAATTACATAATTTCTCTTTATGTCATGTAATTAATGATAAGCATTTGTTTGGTGCCACTATTTTGTTAGCCAGGTTTTTTGTTGTAGATTCAGTTAAACATTTAAAAGTTATTTACATTTCTAAACTTTGTCAATATATCCATTCATAAAAAAGCCACCAACAACAACGAGGGCCTTCCTTATTTTGTATTCACATTTGAATGCTGTGTAAAGTCTGGCTGGCAAAAAAAAAGAGAGGCACCAATGTTATATGATCGACATTGAAGCTAGAATGAATGGGTAGGAGAGGGTGGATGGGAAACCGAGTTGTATGGCAGAGGTACCCGTGACCAGACATTGTTTTCCCTTCTCTCTGTGACCGTTGTTGTTGTTGCTATTTGGAATTAAATGATCATAAATCAAACAAGGCTGTCATTAAAATTTATTTAAATTTCACAGTTATTTAATTGTAGATTTGTGGTGCGCATTGTCGTTGCTGTTGTTGCTTTTATATTTATAATTTTCAAAACACAAATATTTACGAGTCAAAACAGACCAGAAAATTGTTCTGAAATATATATTTGCATTGCAAAGGCATGAAAATGCATGGCAATTTGTGTGGCGGAGGATATATTACCGGGTCTCATGGACTGCGGATTTTTTGCTTGTTTGGAAAACAATCGGGGGAAGACCTTCAAGTCTTCCGAGTCCTCTATGGAAGACCTTCAATTCTTTTTGAGAAGATCTCCAAGTCTTCTAGAGAAGACCTCCAAGTCTTCTAGAGAAGACCTCCAAGTCTTCTAGAGAAGACCTCCAAGTCTTCTAGAGAAGACCTCCAAGTCTTCTAAAGAAGACCTCCAAGTCTTCTAGAGAAGACCTCCAAGTCATCTATGGAAGAACTCCAAGTCATCTATGGAAGACCTCCAAGTCTTCTATAAAAGACCTTCAAGTCATCTATAGAAGACCTCCAAGTCTTCTATGAAAGATCTCCAAGTCTTCTATGGAAGACCTCCAAGTCTTCTAGAGAAAACCTCAAAGTCTTCTAGAGAAGACCTCAAAATCTTCTACAGAAGACCTCCAAGTCTGCTATGGAAGACCTCCAAGTCATCTACATGGAAGACCTCTAATTCTTACAGGGAAAACCTCTAAGTCTTCTAGATAAGACCTTCAAGTCTTTTAGAGAAGACCTTCAAGTCTTTTAGAGAAGACCTTCAAGTCTTCTAGAGAAGACCTGCAAGTCTTTTAAAGAAGACCTCCAAGTCTTCTGTGGAAGACCTCCAAGTCATCTATGGAAGAACTCCAAGTCATCTATGGAAGACCTCCAAGTCTTCTAAAGAAGACCTCCAAGTCTTCTAGAGAAGACCTCCAAGTCTTCTAGAGAAGACCTCCAAGTCTTCTAGAGAAGACCTCAAAATCTTCTAGAGAAGACCTCAAAATCTTCTAGAGAAGACCTCCAAGTCTGCTATGGAAGACCTCCAAGTCATCTACATGGAAGACCTCTAATTCTTACAGGGAAAACCTCTAAGTCTTCTAGATGAGACCTTCAAGTCTTTTAGGGTAGACCTTCAAGTCTTTTAAAGAAGACCTCCAAGTCTTCTAGAGAAGACCTTCAAGTCTTCTAGAGAAGAAATCCAAGTCTTCTATGGAAGACCTCCAAGTCTTCTAGAGAAGACCTCCAAGTCTTCTAGAGAAGACCTCCAAGTCTTCTAAAGAAGACCTCCAAGTCTTCTAGAGAAGACCTCCAAGCCATCTATGGAAGACCTCCAAGTGTTCTAGAGAAGACTTCCAAGTCTTTTATGGAAGACTTCCAAGTCTTCTATGGAAGACCTCCTAGTCTTCTACAGAAGACCTCCAAGTCTTCTATTTAAGACCTCATAGTCTTCTACAGAAAACCTCCGAGTCTTCTAGAGAAGACCTCGAAGTCTCCTAGAGAAGACCTCGAAGTCTTCTAGAGAAGACCTAGAAGTCTTCTAGAGAAGACCTCCGAGTCTTCTAGTGAAGACCTCCAAGTCTTCTAGAGAAGACCTCCAAGTCTTCTAGAGAAGACCTCCAAGTCTTCTAGAGAAGACCTCCAAATCTTCTAGAGAAGACCTCCAAGTCTTCTAGAGAAGACCTCCAAGTCTTCTGAGAAGACCTCCAAGTCTTCTAGAGAAGACCTCCAAGTCTTCTAGAGAAGACCTCCAAGTCTTCTAGAGAAGACCTCCAAGTCTTCTAGAGAAGACCTCCAAGTCTTCTATGGAAGGACTCCCAATATTCATGAGAAGTCAACCAAGTCTCGTAGAGAAGATCTCTAAGTCTTCTAGAGAAGACCTAAAAATCTTCTTTAGAAGATCTCCAAGTCTTCTAGAAAAGAGAGATCTTTCACAGACGACATGAAGTCTGTGAAAGACCTCCAATCTTCTGTGGAAGACATCCAAATCTTTTATAGAAATCCTCGAGGTCTTCTATAGAAGATCTCTAGGTTTTCTATGGAAGACCTCCAAGTCTTCTAAAGAAGACTTACAAATCTCTTATGGAAGACCTCCAAGACTTCTAGAGAGGACCTCCACATTTTTATGGTTTCTATAGAAAAACACTAGGTCTCCTAGAGTAGACCTCAAAGTCTTTTAGAGAATACGAGGGCTGTTTAATAATTCATAGAATTCCTTATCCTTTCCATTTAAAAAAAAAAAAATACGAAAAAATAATTCCAAGTACTCACATTGACTTTTCCGGGTGTTACGGTGTAGACATTTTCGGCCCCGGCACCAACAGTATTTCCCTCGGCGCCACCACCACCATCCGCAGCGGTATTGGGACGAGCCTCAATGCGATTAATGCAGGAGAAAAAGAAGCAGACCAACAAAAGGAAAATGACTTTTTTGCTAGTCAACAATTTGAATTTGAACTGCTTCCTCGAATCCTTGGCGCCGTTTTCCGTCTTATTGTTGGTTGTTGTTGTTGTGGATTGTTGCATTTGGGTTTCCGGCTTCTGGCGATACACCTCAAAACGGGGATCGTTGCGTTTTATGGTGTTGCGTTCACAAAAATTGACAAAGCCCAACCAAAGGGCTAGGAAGAATGCCTTCAAACTGGCCACGAATTTGGAATTTTGTGAAGCTGGGGAGGTGGCGGACGATGAAGACAACAATGAAGATGAGTCGGCAAGTTTGGAATTTGTATTTACAATGTCCTCATTTTCATCATCGTCATCACCATCATTATTATCATTCTTAACGTCGTCGTCATTTTGGGTCTCCTGGTTGTGCTTGGGAGGCTTAGCAGTAGGTTTTCTCTTAATTAAGTTATTTGTAGTTGTTGTTGTTTTTGTTGTTGGGATGGGATTTTCCTTTACACTAAATGACTTGTCTAATTTACTATTTCTATCCATAGTATTATCATTAGTTGTTGTTGTATTCTTAATATTTTCACTAAATATTATGTTTTTGTTGTTTTTAGCACCATTCAAAACCGTTGTTGTTTTTGTTGTTGTAGTTTTTTCTAAATTTATTTCTTCTTGTCCAATATCATCGTTTGATTTAAAGCAATTCTCACAGCATTCATGTTCCGATTCTCTATCTACCAGACCATCACCATCGTCATCATCACCGCTCTTCGTTCGGCTGCACCAGCAGGCGCGACGGGCCAAATTCAATTCCTGTTCCAGGGATGGGGTTTTCTTTTTATCCAGCGACAAGGGTTCTTTCTTGCGATCCGCCATTGTCGTCGTCGATTCGACGATTTTTTTACTAACAGCCATATTTTTTGTTGTTGTTGTCTTGGAAATAATTGTTGGGGACGACTTCGTTTGTTTGGGGTTGGGGAAATTTAGAAAACTCTTCTCAACTCGTTTGGCGTTGTCGCCACCGCCACATTCAGGACCTCGAAAGAAAATTTCATTGGAACTCCTTATGAAAAGGTCTTGGAACATAACGTGCTTTCCTTTCGCTGCCTTCTAGTTGCTTCTTGTATCCAACAACAGCAATGTTGAACACAAAACAATTCCAAGGGAAAGGGCTGAGGAGTGGGGATTTTCTATAAAAATCTCCAGGAATGAATTCAATTATTTCCCGGGTGATGGGGTGCAGGGTTATTTTTTTTAATTTTTCTTGGATTTATTTTAAGGGTTCGTAGGGTTTTTTTTATCACGCCAACATTTAAATTTGTTTTTTTTTTTTTTGTTGTTGTAATTTTAGTTTATATTTACGCTAATTTGTGGGACGTTTTTAACGTTAAGTAATTGGGTAGTTGCTTAAGTACGTGGTTGCAGGTTAGATCTGTAAAGGAAGAAAAAAAGGGAAAAATTAATAATTGTTTTTACAATTTAATTTTAATTAAAAAAAAAAATAAATTTATTGAAAAAAACCGAAAAACCGGTTCAGGGCTTATCCAAAAACCGGTTTTCTGAATTTTACAAATCTGGTTTTAGCAAGAGAAAATCTAAATTTCTGGGATAAATTATTTATTTTAGACGAAAAAAAAGAAATTCGGCGAGATTCCGAACCCGGTTTGCGATTTATCAAAAAACCCGGTTAAAGCTGGGAATTGTTAGGAAGAAAGAAAGTAGAAAATCTATAATTGCTTATAAGTTTTAATTTGAAAATAGGAAAGTAACTCATTCGAATAAAAAACCGAAATACCGGTTCATAGGTAATCCAAAAACCGGTTCATGAATTCTTCAAAATTGATTTTAGCAAGAGAAAATCTTAATTTCAGGCATAAATTGTTTACTTTAGACAAACAAAAAAGAAATTCGGCGAGATTCCGAAGAACCCGGTTTGCGATTTATCAAAAACCCGGCTAAAGTTTGGAATTTATTAGGAAGAAAGAAAGTGGAAAATCTATAATTGCTTATAAGTTTTAATTTGAAAATAAGAAAATAACTCATTCGAATAATAAACCGAATAACCGGTTCATGGCAGTCTTAAAAACGGGTTCATGAATTTTAAAAAATTATTTTTAGAAGGAGAAAATCTAAATTTAAGAATAATTATTTTCTTTAGACAAAAAAAAATATGAAATCCGACAAAAATGTGAAATAACCGGTTAGCGAGGTGTCACAAAACGAGTTGAAAGTTGCAATTGTAAGGAAGCGGGAGAGAGGTTTTTAAATGTTGGTGCATATATTTATTTATTTTTAATGAGAAATAAAATATATGAATATAAAAAACCGAAAAACCGGTTCATGGTTGCCTTAAAAACCGGTTCATGAATTTTACAAAATCGGTTTCAGGAAAAGAAAATCCAAATTTTAAAATTTAATGTTTTTTTATAGACAAAGAAAATATAAAATTCGACAAGAATTTGATATACCCGGTTAGCGAGGTTTCGCAAAACCGGTTGAAATTCGCAATTGTAAGGCAGCGGGAACGAGGAATTTAAATGATTGTCCATAATTTGTATTTATTTTTAATGAAAAATAAAGTATTTGAATATAGAAAACCGAAAAACCGGTTCATGGTTGTCTTAAAAACCGGTTCATGGATTTTACAAAATCGGTTTAAGAGTGAGAAAATCCAAATTTAAGAATACATTTTTTACTTTAGACAAAAAAAATATGAAATGCGACAAAAATGTGAAATACCCGGTTAGGGAGGTGTCAAAAAAACCGGCTAAAAGTCGCAATTGTAAGGAGGCAAGAAAGAGGAAAATAAATGATTGTGAATAAATGTATTTATTTTTAATGAAAAAAAAGTATTTGTATATTAAAATAACCGAAAAACCGGTTCATGGTTGTCTTAAAAACCGGTTAATGAATTCTAAAAAATCTATTTTAAATAGAGAAAATCTAAATTTAAAAATAAACTTTTTACATTAGACAGAAAAAATATTAAATTCTGCGAGACTCTGGTACCCGATCCGCGAGTTTTATCAAAACCGGTTAAGTTTCAATTGTAACACAGAAATAAAGTGGAAAATCAATAATTGTAAGTAAATTTTAATTTGAAAATAAGGAAGTTACTCAATTGAATAAAAAACCGAAAACCCGGTTCATGGGTGACCTAAAAACCGGTTCATGGGTGATTTTAAAATCGGTTCAAGAATTCTTCAATTTTGGTTTTATTATGCGAAAAATCTAGATTTAAGACTTTAGATACAAAAATGTGAAATTCGGTGAGATTCTTGAGTACCCGGTTCGAAAGGTCAATAGAAGAGCTTTAGGTCTCTTCTTCTATGGTCCATAGAAGAGCTTGAGGTCACTTCTTCTATGGTCCATAGAAGAGCTTGAGGTCTCTTCTTCTATGGTCCATAGAAGAGCTTGAGGTCTCTTCTTCTATGGTCCATAGAAGAGCTTGAGGTCTCTTCTTCGATGGTCAATAGAAGAGGTTCAGGTCCCTTCTATGGTCAATAGAAGAGCTTCAGGTCTCTTCTTCGATGGTCAATAGAAGAGCTTCAGGTCTCTTCTATGGTCAATAGAAGAGCTTCAGGTCTCTTCTATGGTCAATAGAAGAGCTTCAGGTCTCTTCTATGGTCAATAGAAGAGCTTCAGGTCTCTTCTATGGTCAATAGAAGAGCTTCAGGTCTCTTCTATGGTCAATAGAAGAGCTTCAGGTCTCTTCTATGGTCAATAGAAGAGCTTCAGGTCTCTTCTATGGTCAATAGAAGAGCTTCAGGTCTCTTCTATGGTCAATAGAAGAGCTTCAGGTCTCTTCGATGGTCAATAGAAGAGCTTCAGGTCCCTTCTATGGTCAATAGAAGAGCTTCAGGTCTCTTCTATGGTCAATAGAAGAGCTTCAGGTCTCTTCTATGGTCAATAGAAGAGCTTCAGGTCTCTTCTATGGTCAATAGAAGAGCTTCAGGTCTCTTCTATGGTCAATAGAAGAGCTTCAGGTCCCTTCTATGGTCAATAGAAGAGCTTCAGGTCTCTTCTATGGTCAATAGAAGAGCTTCAGGTCTCTTCTATGGTCAATAGAAGAGCTTCAGGTCTCTTCTATGGCCAATAGAAGAGCTCGAGGTCTCTTCTATGGCCAATAGAAGAGCTCGAGGTCTCTTCTATGGTCAATAGAAGAGCTTCAGGTCTCTTCTATGGTCAATAGAAGAGCTTCAGGTCTCTTCTATGGTCAATAGAAGAGCTTCAGGTCTCTTCTATGGCCAATAGAAGAGCTCGAGGTCTCTTCTATGGCCAATAGAAGAGCTCGAGGTCTCTTCTACGGCCAATAGAAGAGCTCGAGGTCTCTTCTATGGCCAATAGAAGAGCTCGAGGTCTCTTCTATGGCCAATAGAAGAGCTCGAGGTCTCTTCTATGGCCAATAGAAGAGCTCGAGGTCTCTTCTATGGCCAATAGAAGAGCACGAGGTCTCTTCTATGGCCAATAGAAGAGCTCGAGGTCTCTTCTATGGCCAATATAAGAGCTCGAGGTCTCTTCTATGGTCAATAGAAGAGCTTCAGGTCTCTTCTATGGCCAATAGAAGAGCTCGAGGTCTCTTCTATGGCCAATAGAAGAGCTCGAGGTCTCTTCTATGGCCAATAGAAGAGCTCGAGGTCTCTTCAGAATGGTTTAATAAGATGTCTTGTAGATCTGGGGACACATTAAAATTTTGTTTTTGGGATAAAAGCAAAAATCGTAATTGGAAAAATAATAGAACTAACATTTGGATGTCGTTCGTCATAATATGTATCTGGAATTGACGTTAATAATTCGCATGTACGATTTCCAATTGTATGTATTTATTTGAAGAAGAGGCGATGATTATCCTATCCCTCTATCAGTATATATCAAATGATTATAGACAGGGAAATTAAAAAAGAAAAGGGGACAAGTATTTAAGCTGACGTACAGGTGTCATACACTCACTGATAAGACCTACCCCGTAACATTAAAAACCCTCGTGCAACTGTTGATATACATCTTATATTGCCTGTGCGTTAGCGGTCAATCACTTTATCTAGCAATAAAATATAAAAATGTTTGGAAAAAAACACCCTAATATGATTTAGAGATAACTTATCCTTTTTGAAGAATCGCAAAATATAAAAAAAAAAAAACATTTACGTAGACTTTGAAATTGTTTTGGTTTTGTCTATTAATTGGTCATTAAGAAAATACAGGTGAAATGACGCACAATGGGCATTGATACATAAATCTGTATGAAAACTCAGTTACAGATGTCGCTCTTTTGTGTGCAGAATTTTAGGGGGCCGATCTGTCGAATTTCCAAAATAGAAATAATACAAATGAAAAATTTAAAAGTAAAAAGAGGAGGAAAAATATATCTAGAAACTGAAGCGTAGATGTCTCAAGGCTATTGTTCAAACATTTAAATCAATTATAGATGTCGTTCCTATGCCTCAAGAATATAAAGAATAATTTTGCGAATTTCGTGTTATGATGAATTTAAAATTCATCAGGTCCTTCATGGATGCTATTGAAAAAATCTATCGGTCAGTCAATTAACTAAACCCTGAGGGGAAATTATGAACATTTATAAAGAAAAACTATCAAATTGAAGTATAGGTGTCACTCGTCATAATAAATATCAAGCGACACTTATGTAAATTAAGTGCTATGCTTTACAAACTTCTATACATTAATAATTCTTAAATACATTTGCTTTTTCTTGTGCCTCAATTACTAAATCCCCAAGACAATCAAAAAGGTCTTTACAATGTATGAAATGTAGATGGCGCTAAATATGATATGTATCAATGATCTTCTTGCGAATTTCGAGGGAAGCTCAAAAGGTTTTTAATAGATGCTATTGATTAAATCTTTTTGATAAAAGCTTTTAATCAAATCTTAATAAAATCAATCAAATACCCAAGCAAAACCACGACCTATGGAACCATTTATAACGAAAAAAATTCAAACTGAAATATAGGTGCCTCACGTCATTAATCTCTAAGTCAATCAAACAAGGACATATTAAAAGTATCCGGAGATGTTAAATGTAGATGGCGCTAATCTGATTGACCCAGAATCAACGTCCAGACGAAACGGCTGAAGCTTCAATCTCAAAATTTTAGACGAGAGCCAGCCTT